GCGAACCTTCCCGCCCCCCCGCAAAGTGCAGCGGGTGAGCCCCGGGAGGGGAAGCCGGGCTCAATCCGGATCCTCCCTGGGGAGCGAGCGCCGGGCTAACATCCGAGCCGGCTCCGCCAGGCGGCTTCTGGCTCCCCGCCGGGCCCCCGAAAGGAAATCACACGTGACGGGGAGAAGTTGAGGCTGCGGGGAGAGCGCTTTAAAGGGGAAAAGCTGAGGCGCTGGAGGGGGGTAGCGGAGCCCACCAATCCTTGTCCCTGTGGGGCCCGGGACGCTCACATTCCGCTGCCTGCGCGAGGTCCAAATCCAGCCAGCGCTGCTATTTCAAAACAGCCTTGGGGCCGGGGCGCGCTCAGTGCAACAGCGCCACAAGAACTCGCAACCTGCCCCTAGAGCCCGAGAGACTCGCCCCCCCCCCCACCCCGATCCGCGGGCTCTCGCCCCCTAAAACCTTCATGTACAGAGAACAAGCCCACATTTTGCCACCGCAGCAGAGAATAAATGTAGCTTCTCCTATTGTTCTACTCCTTCCTCCTTTGGCCCACCCAAAATCTGCAGCAGGGCTTCCCAGAGCACCCAAAAAAACCTTGATGGGGAAGTGAAATATCAGATAGCACTGTTAAATTTTCCTCCTTGAACCTCCATATTTTGTCCATACAGAGAACGCCATTTAGCGTCTCCCTGTTGTATCTTTAAAATCCACACGGATGTGCCCCAGAGCCAAACTACCACCCAAACTTAGACCCCTCCCCCCCCCACACACACACACACCTGGGAGCATGCCAAAGTTTCACCAAACACGCAGAACATGCACCTAAAATCAGAGTTAAAGGCGATGCTTCTACTGTTGCCTCAACAATCCGGACCCAGCAAAATTTGTAACGGCAAATGTTCTCATTGGGTACCTATAGCCTGCTAGAAATGGCTAATTTAGGCGTTTGTGCTCTATTTTACCTTCTTCTCTGTCTTACTGTACTCATGAAATGCAATGCACTGCTTGGCAGATGGGAATACATTACCTTCTATATTCAGTAAAAGTTATGCATGGCTTTTTAAAACAGATACAGTTAAAGCTACAGGGGCTTTTTAATATTAAACGAACTGTTACAGTCCTCAACCAGTCCCTTGTCAATTAGATTACATAATCTACAAGCCCTTGACTATTTTCTAATTTGGGCTCTGGTACTTTGATTTTGTTGTGGCTCCATCTGCTAAGGAAATAACGCCCTGATTGCTACCGTAAAGAGATAAACAAAGATCCATATTTTATCATTTGCATGGCTGATCATTTATGGAACATCTCAGATCTGAGGGTTGCCTCCAGCTTTTGTTGCTAACATATTTAAAATGCATACTCCTAACTAGTTACAGTTTCACAGGTTAAACTGATGTTTTCAACTTTCTATGTAATTGTGAGGCGGGCATAGGGAAGAAGGGGCAATGTTGGTGAATCATGATAAATTTGGCCCTGGATTCTGCACATGTGCTAAAATTTAAGCGGTGATGCAGCCAGAAGCAAAGTGGTGCCAAAGTAAAGTTTTTACAGCGTTCTACCAGAATTGGCTGGGGACTGGGAAGAAACATTTGTTTTTGGGGAGTGGGGGAGGGGCGTGGCAGAATAGTAGATCAAGCTTGTTCTGTATTTTAAGGTCCCTGGCCAACATTTGACAAGGTCCAGGTTTTGTATGCAGTATTGCTTCTCAGTTCTGTCCCTGCAACAAGAGCAGCTAATTGTGTTTACAGGGGTGGGGAACCTTTTTTGGGTTGGGGGGTTGCAGACCCACACAAAAATGTCTGGCAGCTAATTGTGTTTACAGGGGTGGGGAACCTTTTTTGGGCTGGGGGGTTGCAGACCCACAAAAAAATGTCTTGATTTTTCACAAATTGAGAAACAAAAAACCCTCAATGACATGGCACCCAACTGAGAAAGACAAAGAGGCTCCCCACATTCCTCTTGCACACCAAAGCCTGGGGGGGGGAGGGCAAGCTAGTAGATTTTCTGTGCTCTAGCTATGGAGCTGGAGCACCAGCACAGGTTCCCCAATACTGGGGGGAGCCCCAAGACTCAGGGGCCAGATCCAGGCAAGCAGAAGGCCACATCCAGCCTGGGTCTTGGATTCTCCACCCTTGGTTTACCTTGGGAGGGCATCTGCCTTGGGCAGGGGGCTGGACTTGATGACCTCCTGAGGTCTCTTCCAGCCAGGGCTGGATTACCCAATAGGCAGACTAAGCACATGCTTAGGGCACCAGCTAAGCAGGGGGCACCAAAAAATGAGATTTTACAGTATAGTATTGTTTTTTATTTTAAATTACTTATGGGGGGACATCATAATCTTTTCAGTGCTTAGGGCCTCTAAAGGTCTTAATCCGGCCCTGGGTAGAAATACTGGGGGCAAAAATGTTTGCTGGATCTCACAAGATCCAAGTGGTGGAGCTGAGATTTTGCAGGTTGTGTGGAGATGCCTCAGAGAGCTGGGTGGGTGTGAAGCAGGAGACACTAGATTCGTCCCTGTTTTATGTGGAAGTGTTGGTGGTGGAGCTGAGATTTTGCAGGTTGTGTGGAGATGCCTCAGAGAGCTGGGTGGGTGTGAAGCAGGAGATACTAGATTCGTTCCTGTTTTATGTGGAAGAGTTGGGAGGACAGGAGGGAAAAGGGGGGGGCAGGCTCTGGCGAATCCTGCCTTTCCCGAGAGCTCCTTTAAGGGCTCAGTCGCAGTGAGAACAAATCAGTGACCTAGCTTATGTGCTTGCAGTTCCCAGGACGCCTGCCTTTTCCTCCCCTTCCCATCGATTGCTGGAGGAGTCCTAGCCGGCCGAGGGCAGTCGAAGTGCACGGACCCTTGGGAAGTTACAGGCAGAAGGCAGACGCTCACGGCTGCCGGGCCGAAGCAGTGATCTTTGTGAGAACAGAAGCCGTGTGGGTGCTGGGAAAGGCTCAGCACGCGTGCGGAATGTTGTATATTTTGGGAGACGCCACCTCTTTAAAGACTCAGTCCCCCTGTATTGTGTTGATTGCTCGCCTCGCCTGCCTTGCGAGGAAAGCTCGCCGGTGCTCGCAGAGAATGAGAGCGAGCTTACTGGGGAGGGACTCACACACCCCACACGTGGAGGCGTGTAACGTGGGGAGAGGGGGCTTGGCGAATTAATTCTGCTCGGCCGGGGAAGGAAGCCGCTGCTTGCACCCAGAGACGTCGGCTGCACCCGGGCAAAGGGAACCCGCGGGACTGGAGAACCCTCCACCCCCCAGCTGCATCCTAGCCCAGCTGCCGGAGCAGCCGCGGGGGCTCGTAGGGCGGGGGCGGGGCTTCAAACGCGTTCAGGGATAGGCTGCCGCTCGCCCCGACCACGCAGCTGGGCGGCCCCGCTGGATGATTTCAAGCGCCGCTTCCCGCTGGGTGTCAGTCAGAGCGAGGGGGTTTGGAGCCGCATCTCGCTCCCTTTCTCGGCCTGTCCAGCCCCTTTGCTCCCTGCTCGTAACCCATAGCATAGCGCATCCCCATCCTCGAGACGCTCAGCCAAGGGCAGTGTACGGGAGAGACATTTAAACCACGAGGGACCAAAGCAAACATCTTATTTATACAGGCATCCAGAGATCAGTGCATTGCAAACTCCTTAGTCCTGCGCTGGCTTAGTGTGGTGGTGATCCTCTTGATTTTCCCTTGCGGGGGGCGGTTAGGCTGGCAGATAAGATCTCTGAGCAGGCTTTCAATAAGTAGGACCAGGCCATATTTAGAGGACTAATTTCATCCCACTGACACTAAGTGGCGCTATAGAGACGAGAAAAAACTCACCTCTTAAACAGCTGAAATAAATGGACACTTTTCTCAGGGTTTGGGGTGGCGGTCTAAAAGGCTTTTGGGAGTTTGAATTTTATTGAAAAGTTAGCAGCACGCGGTGTGCATTCCCTTTTCTAGCAGTAATGCCACACAGTTGAAGGGAAGTGATAGATCTGAGGAAGTGGGTCTGGCCCACGAAAGCTCATCATCTAATAAACCATCTTGTTAGTCCTTAAAGTGCTACATTGTCTTGCATTTTGCTTCAGTTGAAGGGAAGGGTAGTTGGGAAAATATTAAAAATGATTTCCTTGTTGATGTTTTACTTGACTTTTCTTGCAATTAGGCTGCTCTTGACGCAGGATTATTTAATTTCTAATTTTTATTGTTGAAAGCTCTCCAGCTGTAAATTTGGACCTGATGCAAACAAATAGTGTGAACAATAACTCTTCTATCACTTTTTATAAATATTAACTGCAATAACATTCAGTGAGCCTAGGCATCAACCAACATAATGCAACTTTATGCAGATTAAGTGGTAAACTAATAGGCTATGTCTAGACTGGCATGATTTTCCGCAAATGCTTTTAACGGAAAAGTTTTCCGTTAAAAGCATTTGTGGAAAAGAGCATCTAGATTGGCATGGACGCTTTTCCGCAAAAGCACTTTTTGCAGAAAAGCGTCTGTGCCAATCTAGACGCGTTTTTGCGCAAAAAAGCCCTGATCATCATTTTTGCGATCGGGGCTTTTTTGAGCAAAACAAATCTGAACTGTCTACAC